CTTAGAGTGTGGAGCTGCTGTCTCAGGCTAGCCGAGGGCTGTGCTTAAAGGGACCCGACCCCCACCCCGGACAGACAGTTCTCAGGGTTCCCCACTTGCTTGTCTACCTCGATGAGGGACAGCAAAGCAGTCCTGTCTAGGAGTGCCCTGAATGCCCACACTCGGCACATCACAACACTCAGCCATCAGCCCGGCTGCACTTGCCGCAGGCTGCCATCTGGGGGAGGAGTCAATCGGAGGGGCCGGGGGCTGTCAGGATCCAGGAGGCCCTGCAGGAGAGCTTCCACCCCGAGAAGCCCGCAGAGCCACCCCAGTCCTCCCCATCGGGGGCTCGTGCCCAATTCCTCCCTCACCTCCTTCCACTTACCCCTCCCTAGCCTCCCTTCCTGATGTAAAAAATAAAGGACACATGTGTTCAAAAATAGAAACTCTCTTTATTGAACAAAACTGGGGAGGGGAGATTAACCTCTGGGGAGACTGGGAAAAGGAGGTGGGAGAGGGGAAGAGAGAGGGTGGGAGAGGGGAGAAGGAAACCTGGGAGGAGGGAGCTGAAAGGGGGAAACCAGGGGAAGAAGGAGGAGGGGAAGTATAAAATTATGGTACACCATATCTTCAGTACTGTGTACAGATGTGGTCTCCTCACCTCAAAAAAGATATTTTGGCCTTGGAAAGGGTTCAGAAAAGGGCAACTAAAATGATTAGGGGTTTGGAACAAGTCCCATATGAAGAGAGGCTAAAGATACTGGGACTTTTCAGCTTAGAAAAGAAGAGACTGAGGGGAGATATTATAGAGGTCTATAAAATCATGAGTGGCATGGAGAGGGTGAATAAAGAAAAGTTTTTCATTAGTTCCCATAATATAAGGACTAGAGGACACCAAATGAAATGAATGGGCAGCAGGTTTAAAATTAATAAGCGAAAGTTCTTCTTCACACAGCACATAGTCAACCTGTGGAACTCCTTGCCACAGGAAGCTGTGAAGGGTAGAACAATAACAGAGTTTAAAGAGAAGTTAGATAAATTCATGGAGGTTGGGTCCATGGAGTGCTGTTAGCCAGGGGGTAGGAATGGTGTCCCTGGCCTCTGTTTGTGGAAGGCTAGAGATGGATGGCACGAGACAAATCGTTTGGTCATTGTCTCCAGTCCATCCCCTCCGGGGTACCCGGTGTTGGCTGCTGTCGGCAGACAGGTTACTGGGCTAGATGGACCTTTGGTCTGACCCAATATGGCTGTTCTTATGTTCTAAGCTCAGGGTCAGGGGTCTCCCTGGACCAACTTGATTTTCATGCAAACCTGCTCCGGGGTTCGCTTGTGGCCTTTGGCAGCCAGGCTGGCAGCTATCCTACCCTAGATGGCCGCTTTCCTGTGGCTAGTGCAGAGATTGTAGACGTTGGAGGCCTCCCCTCAAACCTCGATGAGGTCCACGATCTCCGCGCTAGACCAGGCGGGCGCCCGCCTCTTGCAGTCCCGGGCAGGGCCCTCGG